CCAAGGTGAGAGAGCTGGTTCACGTATTGTTGCGACTTGTCACTTTAGAAATGGGTTTGAGAAAGCTTTGTTCAACAAGTTGATTGTTCTTTGTATCATCATTCTAATTATCATATATTTTTGTTCCACTTTTATTTTTAAATTTCAATGCTCTTATGTGCATTAGTATGAGAAGATCATTAAAGAAAAATATCACAAGATATCTTTTTTCTTTGCTACTATATCACATGAATTGTTTAAATTAGTGCTATAAATAAAACACTAACAAAAACATATGTATGATGTAACGTACAGAGTAATATGTGGGAATTCTGGCTGCCTTGGCAGATTGCATTCTTTTGTCGTGTTCTGCTAATAGAGGATCTATTTCTTGCAATGCGTTATTTTGTTTTGGCTATTCTCCTAATATTTACTCCGTACATGTTTTGTTTGCTAAGTTTCATATTGTTGGTGTGCATTAACGTTTTCAATGGTGAGTTTGTTACGGAACGATTTAATGTTGTCCTTGTCCCTAACTGGTCATATGAGAAACCTGGTGAAGGGTTTATGTAGCTTGGGGTTTCCCACCTTTATAGTTAGTTTTTGGGACACTTCCCTAAGTTTGATTATTGTATTCCTTTACACTATGTTTGGTTCAAGTATTTTGAAAGGAAATGAAAAGAAAATGATTTTCTCACATTTTCCTTACCAAAATGGGAAGAATTTGGTTTTTCCTCCACTTAGTACTTTGTCTCTTCATTTCTTTTCCTTCCACTTTTCCTCTCTAATAAAACATGAAATACTATTTTTTACTTCATTTCATTCGTTTTCCCTTTCAAATTTCTTGAACCAAACATAGTATTAATGTTGTGACAAAGGAAAAAAAGGAGGGTGGAATTTCTTAAGTGGTATTTTCCGTGGAAAGAAATTCTTAGGTTGATTTAAGGTTGATCCAAAAAAATGACGAACCTTCTTAGTATCACCATAAATACATTTAGAGTTGACAAGTTAGTTGGATAAGCTGGATTGGGTTTGATCACTTTGGATTTGAATAAGTTTGGATTCGTGTTTAGAATTATTGTGCGATATTGGTTTCGGGTTGATCCAACGTGTTATGAGCTTTATTTTTAGTATATTTAAGTGTATACTAGCACTTGACTTTTCCACTAAAAAAATTAAATGATGTGACATCAAAAGTAGAATGTGGGAGGAAACAATGTAACATCAAAAATGAATGATGTGGAAGAAGAATAAAGAAAAGTGATTAATGATACTCTAATGATTTTGTCCTATTCATCTCTATATCATTATCATAAAATTTTTTAATGTGACATCATTTTCTTCTTTAACTTCTTTCACCTCACTCTAATCATTCTTTTAATTTTCTTCTTTATCTTGTATAAGATGTGAACATCATATTTTTTTTCAAAATATTTATTTTATTTACATTTTTATTTCATGACCCATAGAACATATTTTTGAATGCTTCATAGAAAAATTGCTCATTCAATTAAAAAATTTTAATTATTTATTTTAAAACATTTTGTTAGTTGAAATTTAACATTTTAATTTTTTCTCTTCAACATATATTTTAAAATTTAAATTTTTGACTCTTTCGTTCAATAAAAAGACAAGTGATCATTTGATTCTATTTTTTATTGCTTATAGGTTTTCAAATAGTTTTACCAGTAAGTTTTTTTGTTCTCTCCACTATTTCGTTAGTACATTCAACAAAAATAACTAAAAATTGCGAGAATGAAATTTTAAAAAAAAGTTGAAGGAATATTTGATAAAAACTTTAAAATGAAGTAGTAAAAGAAATAAAAATTTTCTAATAACTAAATTGGGTATGAAGCCGGTATTTATAGATCAAAAAAATTAAAAATATTTTACAATTAATTAGGATGGTGATCAAAAGAAAATTAATCAAACTTGACAAGTATAGTCATGTTATTCTGAGATCACCCAACAAACACCAATATTGAATATGTTATTTTAACTCCATGACATAGTTATGTTTTATGTTATTACGTTACTATGTTTTTGCTTTTGGGGTAGTGATGTCATTGAGTTTTGCAAATCTGATTCACGTGCAGAATACGTTGTTGAACTCGTATCATCGAGACCTACAATTTGAGTATAAATTTCACTATAAAAACTTTGAAAATAACTTATTTTTACCACTATCATTTTAATTTTTATTTCTTTTACTAAAAATCATAAGAAAGGGGGTGAATAACGTTTGAACAAAATCATAGGAAATAAAAAACAAAGCGAGAGTAAAGTAAAGAACATAAGAAAGGGGCACACCAAATTTATACTGGTTCACCAGAACTTGTGGCTTATCTAGTCCAACGAGAGACTCTCTCGAAGGTCCTACTAACTCCGTTAAGCTTAATGGAGCTTAACAAATTGATACAACCTAAGAACTCGAGTCACACGAGCCTCAACCACGCTTGCTCGGAGATACTGCACTCCAAGACTTCACCTCGAAGGAATATACTCTTCCTTCGTAACTATCAAGGGAACAAACCTCTCTTCATTCCTTCTAGTGTATAAAATATTTAATCACTCAAGAACAAGACTCTCTTTAAGAGTATATATGAGTAAACTAATGAACGCTTAAGAACATGATAATTTTTTCAAGCATTTGGCTCTCAAAAGCTATGGAAAATGTATGTGATCAATGCAGCGAAAGAGTATTAAAATAGTGAAGAATTATTTGTTAAAGTAGACCCAAGAGACCGACCCCTTTTTTATACCCAAAAACAAGGTGCAACGGTTGGGAGAAGATTGGTTTTAATTGAAATGATTTGTAGAAATCCATTCAAAAGTTGTTAATTTGCATTATAGAACGGGCAAAAATAACAACTAAAAAGAACTTGTAAGTAGGGTGTCGAACCTCAGACGTAAGTTGATTTAATTTAAAACACAAGATTAACGAAAGAGGTTGTAAAGATGTTTTTGCTCTTTTTGGTTTGAGAGATAAAATAAAAGTGTAAAATGAGAGTTTCAAACAACACAAAGTTTTAGATGAGGAAATATTAGAGGTAGAAATTGGTAAAGTAATTGTCCATTGTTTTAATAAAAGTTAGAATGTCAACTTATTTTTATATAGAGTGTGTGGGGGGGGTGTAGAGAAGTATTTAGGAACACTCTCGCAATTTACCTAAATAATAACTACTTCGACTTTTAATGCAATGCAAGAGTCAAAATACTATTTAATGCATAGTCAATATCTGGTCCCAACCGGATATTTAGGAATACTCTCGCAATTTACCTAAATAATATCTGCATGGGTGTTTCTTGGCACAAATTTGAAACCTTTAAAATATGCAGCGAATTTGGAGTATTGGCATGCCAAAGAGAATCTGGGAGTAATATTGTATAATCAGCCAAATATGGGAGTATTAGTGTGAATTTATCCTAATATTATCATCATTTCAAAATTTTGAACTGGCAATTGGAGTGCATTAATGTGCTTAGAAGTCAGCACATAATGAATGCATTATGCTGCAGAGATGAGAACTGATCATCTCTTGAATAGGTCATTGGAGCAAGAGTTCACTTCTGGAACTTCGTTATTAATGAGGAATACATTAACTAAAGCCGGAAAGCTTGGCCTTATTTTGCTTGAGGATTTGGCATCTCTTGCAGCAAGTGGTTCTGTATGTGTCCACACAAATTTTATCTTTTTTCATTGGTCAAGTTTTGATTTTGTTCTACATTATTGCCAGTTTGAGATCATTAAACTTGTATGGTTATCAATTGTAAAATTAAGTCACTATGAAAGGTTCCTGGAAACACATTTGATCAAACTTATTCGTATTTGGAATTCATGTTTGCAATCAATTTATTTGTATTTTAAATCCTTCTTGATGGCTATTTAGGATTATTCTGTCCAATTATGTGGTGTTATTCCGAACCTTGATTCCATACGAGGAGATGCTGATTTTACTACAATTTATTACTCCCTCCGTTCGGATTTTAAGTTCCCGGTTTAACTATTGCTCATTTTTAGTGGAAGTTGACTAATGGGCTACATTGCCCAAAATACCCCTGCCCCCACACCAAAATAATTCTGCAACCCTCAACACCACAACCACCCCAATCACTATCCCCACCGCCCCAACCGTCGCCCCAGCCTCCTCCGTACCTGCAATTGTAAATCAAAACCCTCCCTCAACCGTAGATCTACAAGGAGATGAAATCGAATCACCGCACGTAGATCTAATCGGAAAGAAGAAGAATGAGAAAAAGAAGGAGGGGAAGGGAGAGAGAAAACGATGGCCAGATCTGGCCGAGAAAGGAAAGAAGAGAAAGAAGAAAAAGAGGGGGGGGAGTGAGAGAACTTGATGGCGTGATTTTGCTGAGAAAAGAAAGGGAGAAAGAAGGAAAAGGAGAGGAGGAAGAAATGAAGAAGAAGATAATTGGGAGAAGAAAAATAGAAGGGGGAGGGGGAAGAGAGAAAAACGAGAGAAAGAAGAAAAAGAAAGGGAGGGGGTGGCCAGGCCTGCGAGAAAAGAGGGGGGGAGAAGAAAAAAGAAAAGAGGAAGAAAGAAAGGAAGAGAAGAAGGGGTATTTTAGGAAGAGTGAGTATGAAAACGTAGAATGAGAACTTTATTTCTGGACGGAGAAAAGCGTAGAGTAGGAACTTTAATCCGGACGGAGGGAGTAATATACCACCAGATATGTTCGATCCTAACCCCCAGATATCCACTAACCATTCATAGTTTGAGAGATACATTAAAAAGTGCTTTGGAAAAAGCACTTTTATTAGAATGTGCTATTTTCAATAACTTCTAAACAAGCCATCTCCAACTTCTGATTGGAATGGCACAGAAGAAAATTAGATTTTCTCTCCCATTCCTATCCATTATAATCTAAAAGGAAGAAATACTGATATGAAGTGATTTAAAGTTTTTTTTGAATATGGATGTATAGTGCAAACACGAGACACTTTTGTGAGAGAATAATCAATGCATATGCAGTTTTTTGAGTGTATCAATGCTTATACAGTTCTTTCCTTTAGAGTCCCACAAAGTTTATCTTCCGTTTTATGCATTATTTTAGTGCTCTTACCAGTACTTCTATACATATTGAATCTTACACGGTTACACTCTATTCATTTTTATTAACTATTTTGTTTTAGCAGCATGGTGAAATGGCTGATGAGTGTCTTCAACTCAAGACACTACAAACTATCCTTGTAATGTTCCAATCTTGTTTACAACCTGATAATGAGGTAATCGTCATTCATAGCACTTTTTTTTGTAATCAATATAAAGCGTTGCTATGAAATATAATTTGGTCGAGACTAAATCCACTCCCAAAATGGCTTTATTCACACTCTTCATCCAAATTTGCTAATTGACTCCCACTCTTATAAATTTAATATTTTACATCTAGATTGTGGATTTAGCAAATTTGGATGGAAAGAGTAGATATAGAAAATTTGAGTGGAAAGAGTGGATATAACCATTTAAGGGATGGATTTAGTCATACCCATTTAGTTTATGCCCACCTAATTTGTTCATCATTAGCATGTGTAATATATGTTATAGAACTACAGTATTAAGTTATTATCTCAAGTGTTTACTGTACTTTTGTAAATGGTTTGCAATTACTTTTGGGATTGGGCTTGTGTAGTTGGGTTGTATCTAATATCCCAATATAGTACTTCAATCAAACTGCTCTTTAAAATTGGAACTTGTAAGACATAATACTACTGTAAAACCTTTGTTTAAAATATCTACTGTAAAACCTTTGTTTAAAATATCTGAATTCATAGAATAATACCACCCCAATTCTAACTTGCACGCATCCATGCCAACTTTAATTTGATTTTAAGAGTACAGTAAAGTTAATTGAGGGGTATAATAATATTTTTAAGCATAAAAATTAAGCGAAAGTTTTTACAGAGTAAGGAGATATTCAAGCTTAAACGCTGCAAGATTCAAGCAAAAATCAAACAAAAACCCTAGCAGATTTTTTTGTTTGAAAAATCAACAGAAATGAATCAGTAGCAGAAAAATTTTGTTAAAAATTATTGGAAAAATTTACCGATTAATGAGAAGAGAAAGAGGATAGCTACCTATTCCGGTGAAGATACAAGATGTTCAAGGCTAAGGGAGACTACCAGAGTGAATAGTAGACTGGTGGCCAATGGACCAGAGTAGTGAAGAGCAGACGGATAGTGGGATGAGAATGATCTATCGGAGAACGATGGAGAAGAGGAGAGGAAGAAAGATGGTGAGGAAGAAGCCAGTAACTAAAAGGAAAATGACTTCCGGAACTCTAAAGGGGAAGTCAATTTTTAGATTTTAGAAGGGATTTTCCATTGAACAGAGCCCCAAATTCCATTGACTATCTTCTAGAGGTTACCAAACAGCAGATAACTCGGAAAAGGACTTTCAGAAGTCAGTTATTTTCTTGGTTTCCAAACAGAGCCTTATAATATGGAAAGTATAGAAAAACTGAATTAAATAAATTGGGATATTAGATACAACCCATCTACACAAGCCCAATCCCAAAAGTAAATGCAAATCATTTTAAAAAGCATAGTAAACACTTGAGTTAATAATTTAATAATGTATTTCTATAACATATACTCCCTCTATCATAAAAAAGACTCCTCATTTCCTTTTCGGGATGTCCCAAAAACGACTCCTCTTTCCATTTTTGGCAAATTTTGTGTGGCCCAACATCTTTCTCTCTTTCTGCATCACTTTCAACCACACAATTTTACTTTTTCTTAAACTTTGTGCCAAACCCAATTGTGAGGCTTTTTTTTGGGATGGAGGGAGTATTACACATGCTAATGATGAATAAATTGGGTGGGCAAAAAGTTCCTGTCTAAAAGTTTCTGTCTAAATTAGAACTTTTGCTTAGAATTTGATGGCTCACAGCTTTCTAGATACTCCTGTTTGCATATTATACCTGGAACAATATCCTGTTTTCATATTATACATGGAACAATATGAAGTTCTCATGATATTTCTTTATGGCTAGTTGCTACACGTTTAGATCTCAACTATATGGGAATTTGAGTGTGTCTACACACACATTACTGGCATTTATAAAATGAAATGGATGAGGCAGACGGTAAACCTTTTGGCTTTGGGTAGGTAAAAAAGACTAACTGATCTTTCGACATTGAAGTTCTATTGTGTAAGTGCTCTCTATGTTTCATTCAGGAGAATACTGCTCAAGCTCTTGGCATTTGTCTCCGGCTTCTTGAAAGCAATAAATCTTATAGTGTACGGAAGTGAGTTGAAGTATTACACTAGAACACAGTAGACGCACACTACTTGTTTTAGTAGTTTTTACTGTCATTTCTTTTAACTCTTGTTTTCATTCTTGTTGCCCACTTT